GATTTGATCGGTAATAAATTAATTTTTCCCCAAGTCAAGTCAGTTTTGCCCATGATAGTAACTGGTGAGTGCTGAGGAGCCTGTGTCCGAATGGGAATGCTTTAAAGCATGGAGGAACATTTATGGTGCGTGAAGGGACTCCATTTCATGGACTTGCTCGTTTATACCTGGTTTTAGGCACTGTTTGATGTACTTTCCCCACCTGGCTGTATTAATTCCATTTGTTTGTATGGACTTGCCCGGGCTTGCCCAGAGCTGTCTTCCCACCAAAAGCTGTTTATCCTCTCACTTTCCCGCTCATCCTGCATTGATTGGCTGAGAAGTACTGCAGTGCGGGGTGAGTCCCCATTGGTTCCTAATGCCTGACCCCTCCCAAGTTCCTCTTCCTTTCCTGTGTTCCCCTATCCTGTTTTACCCTGAGATGCCAATCTCACGTTCCTCCCCTGTTACCAAGCCCCCCTGAACCAGACCCTATATAAGTCCCTGCTCTACCTCAATAAACAGCCATTGCACCTCGACCTTCCATCTTGTCAGACTCCTCTGTGCAGTGTTGCAGTCCTACTCCCCCACCCACCAGACTGTGGCAGGTGAGTGATCTCTCCCTGCCCTTACCTTCACTGATGAGCCTTTTGTTATATTTTCTCTCCCCTGTCCAGGTGAGGAGAGGACTGACAGAGCAGCTTTGCTGGGTACCTGGCATACAGCCAAGGTCAACCCACCACAAGGAACTTCAAGAAACACAGGAAGTTAGTATCTTTCACTACTCTGTGTTTTAGTGATTACTACATAAGCTGTATCTGTCTAAGAAATTTAAATTTAGGATTTCCTAAATAGTGGCTTCCCTTGTTATTGAGAAGAGATGTTATTAATCAGGTGAGTTCCAGTGTTTTGCCAGCTTTCACAAGTCCAGCACATGTATTGTCAGCAAGATGTCATACGTCTTTTTAATTAAGAAAAAAAATGATCCTGATGCTGCCAAAAAAATAAAATCCTGCACATTTTCCTATGTAACAATTAATCTAAGAAACTATTTAATAAAGACTATTTAATAAACTATTAATAAAAATTAATACAAATTTAATAAACACATGGTTTGTGGCTGTGAAACCATCCACTGAGTGTGTATGTGTATGCTCTGATTTGGAAACATGAGTTAATCAGAATGGCACCCTGTGCTATGCTTCCTGCTGTCCTCTGCAGTGATGTTTGCAAGCAAGAAGAGAACAAAAGAGAAATATGTTTGGTTTTCTAGTGTGGAAATAAAGGTCAAGCAAATTTTTAAACAGCGACTCTTTTTTTTACCTGCCTCTGTGTGTTCCTGACCACTCAGCACCTGGAATAGACATGCCTGAAGTTTGAGGAGGCTCCTTTTTCTGCTGTGGCACAATTCCAAACATCACGGAAACATTACAAAGCACACTGTATTTTGGAGAAAGTTATTGAATGTACAATGAGATAATGCAACCTCCCTCCCATAAAAAGAAGTTTGGTGTCTGTCACATCAGGTCATACCTAGTGAAACAGCTGGAGACAAAAATCAAAATGGATACTTTCCCTCCAAGCTTCCCAGCCCTGAGTACCTTTCCTCAGTCTGGTTCAACCTCCACTTGTCCTACTAATCTAATTTTTAATTGGTCCTTGAACTCTGTCTTAGCATGTTGAACTCGTAAAGCAATATGGCTACTATTAGTAATTCCTTTGAGCTTGCACATCTATAATTCCTTAAATTTAAACTGTTGATAAAATCTGAGGCTAAGACTGGATCCAGCTGCACCCAGGCTCCTCTCTGAGAAGGAGTTTAGAAAGCAAGGGAATCCTTTCTGCACCTCATGACTCAATGGCAGGGCTTCTTTAATAAACTTTGCCTAAAAGCCTTCCACTCCCCCCATGATGGGCCACACTTTGCATTCATGGTGTCTCATTTGCTTCGTAGCAAACACTCCTGTAACTTGACTCGTGGGGATGACTGTGAATGTTTCTGGTATAGAAATGCAGAGGCTCTTGGTTGAGAAGATGCTTTTCTTTAAGAGGATCTTGATTGTTAAGTGATCTTTTTCCTGCATAATGTATGAATGTTTCTGTGGAGTCAAGTTCATTCCAACATTTGGGCAATTCTCCAAATAACTTATTCTATGTCTGCCACCACTGAATTTGAACATATAAACTTGATATTTGATACTTGACACGTACACTTGTGAAAAATCTTCCTGAACATACCTGAAAGCCTTCCTTTGCAGCAAAACATTGGCAGTGCTAATTAACAACATGCTACAGCCTACCTGGATTCTATAGTACCTGGACATAATGTTAAAATGTTAAACAGAATGGTTACAGTTGTACATCAATCCACAGAATTTAAAATGCATCACTGAGGCTGGGAAATGGTTTGCAAACACTCCTCACTCCAGCTCACAGAGCAGAGCAACCAGTTCAAGATGAATCACACACTACTTCATTTCAGGAAGCACAGAGCTTTTGCTCTGACATTCATTCCTTCATAACCGCATCACTGTATTTGAATTAAACACAACAATCTTCCATCTGACATGAGGAAGGTCATGTCATCAGCACAGTCTCCATTTATAGCAGATATACTGTTTACTGATTTACTCTTATAACGCAGCTCTTGCGCAAATGAATCTCACAGTTAAAAACAAGACATATGAAGAATGTAAAAGGAACACTGTGTCTATCTCTGAGATTAAAGATCAGTCTGAAACAGTCCTCTATATGCGAACTTCACACAATTGTGGGACATTTTGAATCAGCTTCTCTTTGCAATTTCTTAATGAAAACCAATCATATTTTTACAAAATACTTAAGAATTAGTTGAATCAAAGAAGAAATGTGTGAAAATAGCTAACTATCTGGTGGTTAGAGATGTTCTTGTGGCAGGATACTCGAAATAATTATTTGCCAGGCAAATTAATGTAAGACATGGCATCGACACATGACACTCATCCTACAACAATTCCACAGGCCATAGATGGAAGACTCTAAGAAAAAGTAAATTGTAGTTTCAGATTCACTCAAGTAGCCACAAAAATTGAACCAGTAAGGTTGTTTGGCTTTTTCACTGACTTGGTAACAGTTTGCAAGTCCACCACCTTACCAAGTTTTGCGAATAAATTTGGTAAATTGAACTGTCTAGCTAACTTGTCCTCAGTCAAATATGTTTTAGGATGACTGAATCTATAGCTACAGTAAAAACTGTTGAAGCAGAAACCTTTCCCAAGGTGACAGTGGTGATTCTGACATAATAAACCCCAGTCCTTTCTGTTTCTCCCTTCCACCTCCATGATTTTTCTCCCTTTTTTTAGGAGAAAAACAGCAGTCTTTTTAAAACTTACATCTATTAAATTCTTCCAATGGGAAGTTACTCCTATTTGGCAATCATCATTAAAGACTATTTTTTTTCTTTTAACACTAGTAAGAAAGGACAGGGATCCTAATGTCATTATTATATTGATGAGATGGATCCAGAGATATGACTGAAATGAGACCAAATGTGACACAGCTGCCTCCAAAAAAATTTGTCAGTTGAACAAAACACACTGGGACAATCTGGTATCTCAATTTCCAGTTGTGTTACCATGGTTTCTATACAAAGTCTGGAGAGTATTACAAGTATATTCTTTGTGATGATAAATAAAAGGAGTATTTGAAATAGGATAATAAAATCATGGGTTCAGAGACCATTATGACAGCTACAGGTAACTACTTACATTTGCCTCTGAAACAATCTAAACAGACAGAAGGTAAATCAATATATTCTAAATATATGGTCTAGCTATTGGGTTTTCCCTGCCTTCTTGTTTTATTTTGCTGAGGTATAAAAATGATTTGGAGAAATATGAGAGTAAGCTAGTTAATGCAAAACATTTTGCTGTTCTTGGTAACTCCTGTAAAGGCAGCCTGGAAGCCCAGTGTTGGCTCACCCTGTATGGTTTGCCTCAGCACTGTTGTTTTAATTGCTGTTGAAACTCAGATTCAGCAAGATGTATGATATTAGTGTCACGGCTGACACACTGAATTTATTTACAGAGCTTTAAACTGCCAGAATCTGGAAGCACCTGAAGGTAAATTTGAATTCTAATTTCAGTTCCAAGCTATATTCAAACACGTTTGACTCAGTTCATCTATGTCATGAAATTCTATCAAATCATTGGAAAACTTTGCATGTAGAGACTGTGAGGCAAAGTGCTTGTGTCTTTGGGTATACTGGAACAAAATTAACTCAGTTTTCAAAACTAGACATGTTAGTCCTCATCAAACTAATACAAATGCCTGTTTGACATGCAGAAAGTAACAAGACTTTTGAGATGTAACTGATTTGAATACACATGTCTACATAGAGGATATGAGGGTATACTATGGCTTGTTGTACTTAACCTGAGCACTTGACAATTCCCCATGTGTCATTATAATAATTTAAATGCAATTAAAAAAAATCTGCTCTTGAACATTTGGCCTGCAGCTAACAGCTCACAGCAGCTGAGCTGCTCTAGTGATCCACTGCTACTGAAAGGGGTCTTTCTTCCTATGACTTTCTCTTTCCATTTCCATACATTTCCCTGAGCTGACTCCATGGGACCCTATCCCCAGAGATGATTAAACTTGTTGATTTGGGCAGAAAATTATGTCCTTTTCTTTTTTGCTGTAATAGTTCTCTCTTGGCTTATTTATGCTCAATGCTTGAGCATAAAGTAAACACAGCACCTGAGGGAAGGTAAGTGGAGAAGACTTGATGAAAGGAACAAGGTAGGACTTTGATGGTGGCAAACTACCACATTTTTGGAGAGAATTGCACTCAGTGTGATTTTTGTATGGCTTCTGGAGCATATGTTTATGGCATAATTCTTTGTGAAACTATTGGGAGTTTCTAACAAAAAAAAGCATTGTATTAAATTAATTTTAGTTAAAAGACAAAGCCAGTATGAATAAAAGCATCATTATAACATCAGAAATGAAGTATTCTGTAAGGTGACTTGATGACTTACCTTAAAGGAGATTTCATATTGCTCTCCTCCCCATATTTCTAATCCTGGATCATAGCCTCCCAGCTCCCAGAACCATTTCCGATTAACAGCAAATAGACCTCCAGCCATTACAGGAGACCTGAAGGATGAATAAAGCAACACAAGCAATAATGATGATGTTTGGACCACGTGTGCATGTGCCTCTGTGTGTGTTTGAGTGAAAGTTTTTGAACTGTGGAGCTATGGCAGGCATAGACAAACAGTAGTGTAACCAAACAACATTTATCTCTATTCACCCCAGAATGGTCTCTAGATGAGAAATAGGCAATATGATAGATCTTGAGCGTGATAGACAGTCATGCACAAACTCCTTGTATTTTTAAAAAAAAAAAGTTCTGTTCATTACTAAATAAACCCATGTAACAGAGAAAGAAAGGGACTCTGAAAACCTGCCAAAATACTTAATGATCTCAGTACTCCATGAGAAGTAACTTGCATCTGAAGGGTAGCAAAAGTTTTCAATTCATTTCAGTCTCATAGGTGCTGGTGAGAGAAAGGCAGAAACATGACAGAACATGGCTACAGAGCAGCAGTTGGGAGTTAAACATCTGCTTTTCTAAGCATTTAAAACTCCTCATGTGTGTCTCACAGTGGTAATTTAACTTATAGGCAAATAATTTGCTATGTTTCCCATGTTTCCATTTATTCCATGAATAAACACATGGAATTTACTTTAACTCAGTCTTTCACAGACAATAGAGAAAACAAATGAGATATTTAAAGTTAGTGTCAGAAAATATTGATGAAAAGTGCACTGTAAATTTATAAGCAGGAATTTTGTACTGGAAAATAAGCATTTTCTCTTTTTTTTTCATTACCAAGAAACTCATGTTTCTAATGCAGTAAATACACCAATAGCTCTCAGGATTCAAATGTTGCTCACTGATTTCTTGAAATTGTGGTGGGAGGGGAATACAAAGGAATCTACACTGAACAGGAGGGAAACAGCAGGCTGAAGAGAGTCCAAGCCAACTATGCAATTCAATCAATGCAGCCTTATGAGTTTTAGAGCAAGAGGCTAGAAGGAACACATTCATGCTGATGGCTGATCAGAGGGAGAAAAGACAGTACATGGAGACCTGGATAGCTTCCAGGCAATGCTTCCTTACCAGAGAATAGACATGAAACTGGATCCTATGCCATGTGCCTTCTAACACTGAAGTCCCAAGGGAAAATTATTCCATCATGGGGCATTTTTGTTTTGAATTACTATTGGTCATTTGTTTGGGGCTATGGAAGCAGATGGTATCATCCCTGAAGACCTGACTGGAAAATAAAAACTTCCCCCTTTGCCACTGATTTAAGATTTGGCAGTGAACTCAGCACTCGTAGGTATTTCAGGAATCCATGCATAAGTTACAAGTTTATTAAGAGGACATCATGTTAATGGAACATTCTGCCATATTATCTCTGCCTGAACACTTTTTTATGTTACTGTCTTTTATCCAAGCCAGTGGAGACAATAAAACAGCAAGCAGACAGCTGAGTAGTCTCTGCTACCGTTAGGAGACCAGTGAATCCTCATGCCTGAATGATAAAAAATGATCTTCTCATTTGCATTCACAGTAAAGAGAAACATCATGGATATTTTTCCTTTCACATCTATGAGGTAGTTTAAAAAAAAATAAAAAAAATATTATACTTCCCATTTTCAGGACTAGGGAGCTCTAACAGACTAATTGCATTTTCCTTAAGAGATTATATTTTTAAAAGCACATAGAAGCTTTGTGAAACAAAGCTTTGTGAAAAAAATATTCAGACTGGCAAGGCTTTGCCAGTTTGTCACATACACTGAATGCTAATACTTTTTTACTTTTACTGACATTTCATATCTCAAATATTGACTGTATTTCCATATATGAATACATTCAATGGAGATTTTATTAGAAACCTTCCCCTGGGGATTCTGACTACTACAATACATTTTCAATTTCTACCGAAGTAAATCTAATTACAACAATGTCCTTTGTGACTTCAGGTTCTAAATAATCAAAACACAATGTAGTTTTATAAAGATGGACTTGCATGGAGAATGCTTATAACTAAATTGCTACTGGCAGCAGAAATGTAGTCCCAGAAATCCCTGGGAAAATGTAGGATTACTCTAATTCTCACAGATACAATATCTTTCCTGAGCATTTCTCTTAACGTAGTGAATAGCCTATAAAAAAGGTAATCCATGCAGGTGAATCAGATGGAAGATAAAAGAAATCAGACTTAAAATTGCAAAATAATTGGCAAACACTTACAAATTATATTTGAATCTACAGATCTTTCCAGTGATAAATAATGAATAAAGAAACCCCTTGTTAATTAGATGTGAAAGTTCAAAACATTTATTACAACTAACAAAACTACCCAATGACTGGAACAGTAGCAAACTCATAGTTTTTCCACTTCCTTAATAAAAAAAAAAAAAGAAGAAATCGAATGTAATTGCCCTATTAATTCATATTCCACAAGATGATCTGACATTTGTTGTTTTGCAGGAATAGCGATGGAGAGGAAAACCAGGATGGCCCTTTGGTTTTCATCGGAATGGGATGAGTAATAAGCTGTGTGAAAGTGACTGGTTGGCACAGTATGCGTATTGCATTCCATGCCACAAGCAGCTACTGCTGAACAGGCCTTAAATTATCTCCAAAATATGAAGATGAGTCCAGTCTTGCAATCATGATTTATATAAAAAGTCTTTATGTAGTTAATAGGATCACTTACATAGATAAATGAACTGCACTGAGCCCAAAGGAAAGGAATTAATCTCTTATTTAATGGCTTCTGTATAGAAATGTCAAGCTATGTTTGTAGAAGTAATTTTTCCGTGAAATGTCCAACTCAGGTGCTTAAATAATCGAACCTGAGCTACAGTAGCATAATATTATGTAATTACAGTGGGAAGCTATAAAATGCTTATAGTCTAAAACTTAGAAGGACAAAGACTCCCCAAACATCAGGGAAGCTGGAAGGTTGCTAAACTTAAAAAATAGTTGGAAAAACCTTCCACATGAGAACTACTGCACAGACTCACTGACGATACCTAAAAGAACAATATCGGAAGTAAAAGCTAGTTGATCCAAAAATGTCCCAAGCGGTCAAAGACTGCTGAGCTGAGACAGAAAACGAGTTTGATTTAGTGAGAGTGCCAAAAAGAAAAAAAAAAGGCCAAGAAAATTGTTTTGCAAAAAAAGATAGACTGAGAAAAAGGCAGGCAAATGCTTAATGTGAAAAGATAGCTCAGAAACAAATTAAAAAAGTGCACTAAAAGAAGTGTAGCAGTAGCTCAAACTGTAGCCAGCAAAGAATTTTATAACTGCTTGCAATTTAAATGGAGAGGCAGGAAAGAGATAATCTATGAATTTTCAAGGTAAGAGAAAAATGACATGGATTTAAAAGGAGTGTGAAGTTACTTGCATTAGAAACAACTGTGGTATATTGCAAACAAGTGAACTGCATAGCAGGTTTTGGAATCACTGCAAGAGTGATATATACAGTGAAGCTAAAGGATTTGTGAGAAGGGAAGAGAAACTTTGACAGCACATGGAAAGAAAATGAGGGAAATGAAAATGGGAAAGCATTTGTGCAGTAGGAACATGTGCAGTAGGTACAGATCACTTGAAACTTGGCTGAAATTTGGCCATTATAATTGTATACACTGAATGGCATATTGCACTATGCCTCTCTCTGTATCATCCAGACTGACTAAAGGCTCTGTATTGAACTACTAAACAGAAAAGGATGAATGCTGGAAAGAGGAGTCCACCTCATGCAGGATACATTGGACAAACTGACCTGCAGTGCCAAACCCACTGACATGTTGTGTAAATACTGAGGCAAATAGCCCACAACAGGAATCAGGACCAGATCCTGTTGACCTTGTGGAGACAGGGATGTAATGGACAAGGAGGAAGGGGGCCATGTTGCTGCTGGCACAGCAGCAGTCACAGAAATGACTTGTGACCTCCTGAATGCAGCTTTGAGCTAGGCTTCCGCACTTTTTAAAATGAATTTCAAGGTCTTGTTAAACAAGAAGAGTGTTCCTTCACCCTAGTGATACCATATGAAGGCACCTCAGGAGAGGGCATAAATTCAAGTCACCTTGTTTCACTGGTGACTGCTCCAGGTGCTCTCTGCAGCGATTCCTGATAGCAAACAGCAGAAACTGATACTAATCCTAGATAATAAAAGTTCTAATAAAACCAAAAATTGAAATCTGTGTGGGGTTAATGTAAGAGACAGACTTGTCCACTCGAAAGAAGTGAATGCAGAAATTAAACAAACTGAAATTAAGATGAGTTAATCAAATGGCAAGAAAGTGATATATATTAATAAAATAAATGACAAAAATGTGAACTTACACATTGCTCTAGCTAAAGATAAAGACAGATTCTATACTGTGCACAAAAAAAGATGGTGATGTAGATGGAATGAATATGGATAAGACTTATTGAATTTCTCAAGAAGTAAAAACAAAGTGGAATATTTTATATACTTAATTGTCTAATCAAATATAATTAAAATGTATGGACTATTTTACATTTAATATTTCTGTAAGACATTTATCTTTTATCTATTCTAACAACATGAGTCATCTCCATGTTTATAAAACCACCAAGACTTAGAAAGTAAAACTTGTGACATTAGCCTATGGAAGTTACTCTTTCTTTTTTTCCTCAAGTATCCAGTTTTCTGAACAATGTTTACTCTACATGAATTTGTGCCCCTGTCCGTACCAAACAGTCACACAGGTTTTGAAACCACTGCATTCCTGATCATCATTATCTCTCTAGAGTTTAGAAGCAGCATCTCACAATATACATCAGATCAACCATGTAAGGAAAAGGCCTATATGTAAGAAAAAGGCCTATCTTAAAGCTGGTTTGCTCCCCATAACTGCCTCCACCCAGTTCGTTCACTGTACATTCAGAGTTGTCACCACAGTACACTGTAAATTGCCAGCTGATGTTTCTCCAGTTAATGTCTGTAACTCTGAAGTCCCGACTATTTATAGTAATGGACACCAGAAATTTTCATGAAGCAAACTGAACCCACTCTCACACAAATTCAAATTTGTAGAGCTGT